GGAGAGCCACACTTCCAGGCAATCAGCAGAATTTATTGAGTGCCTGCTGTTTGCAGGGCCCTTGACATGGGCACCAGAAACCACATGCCTGCGCTTGGGAGTGTGTCTTCCTTAGATCACTACACTCCAGCCTGGCCACCTTTCCCTTCCTCCCTAACCTTGTTTCTGCCTCAGGACCTTTGCACTGGCTGTGCCCCCCAGGCTGCCTCATTCTCCTCCTCAGTCCTTCTCACAGTTCAGGTCTCAGCTTTGTCACCTCCTCAGCTAGGCTGTACCAGACCATCCTAAATCAAGCAGCCCTTTCACTGCCACGCCCTCTGTAGTGTCAGTCTGTTTGTTCTGGTTTCTTTTTTCAGAGCACTTGGCACTGTCTGAAAGGGTCTTATTCATGTAGTTATATTTCAGTTGCCTCTCTCCCCTGAGGGCAAGGATTTTATCTGTCTTGTTCACTCTATCCCAGTACCTAGGTGCTCAGTAAATAATAGTGTGGTTGAATGGATGAAGGGAGAGGAATGTGGTTGTTTGAGGAGGAGCTGGCTGCCCCTTGAGGATGTGTCCTTGCTACTGACCCTCACCCATTAGCCTTCTAGCCAAGCGGGTGGCCCTGTAGCAGGTTTCCTTAAAAGGATGAAGCCAGCTTTTGGAGTAGGAATCCTCTGGGAACCAGCAGCTCCCTCCCCTCTGGCTGGGTTCTTAGAACTTGGGCCACATAGAGGGAGATTCTCAGCTCTTAGCTCTGGGCTCCTTTGTTCTCTGCAGCTATCGTCTGCCTGTCTGGTGACTCAGCCAAGCAGTTCCCAGGGTGGTCATTTCCTTGGGAAACCCAGACCTGGCTCCTGTTGTAGGTGGCGTGGAAGGGGGCAGGTGCCATGGGTGTGACCCTGTGTAACAGATCACAAGTTAGAGTTGCAGGTCTTCTCTGCCCTACTTTACAAGCCATACACAGTACTTACACATTTTCTTCTGAGTGCAAGATTAAACAGACACTTGGTGCACAATGTAGTGAGGAATGTCTGAGTTCCCTGTAATTCCCCTTTGCAGGGAGAGAACCGCTGTTACGGTTTGGTATATATCACTCTAGAACTGTGTCTGCTAGTAATAATGACATCACAAATGTTGACAGATTCTTCCGTGCACCAGCAGATTTCATCCTTTTACTAAGTCTGAGATCCCCATTCCACAGGTGAGGAAACTGAGGCACAGACTGGTGAAATAACTTGCCCAAATTCACAGTATTAGTGTCCGGCATAGACTGAGTTGCTTAGCAGACAGACCCACAATTGTGTGCTAACTCTAAGTGGTTTCCTTTTCTCTCATCTAACAGTCCTGCTCTCTTGGGGGCTCAGGGTGGGCTGGTGCTTCACCTCCTTAAGTCATCCAGAGGCCTAGTTCCTTCTGTCTTCTTCTGCCATCTGCCGGGAGTCACCCTGGACCATGTGGTCAGCTCTGGCTCACTGGCAGATGTCCACCTTATAGACTCAGGAGGGCAGGTTGGAGTTGCATCATCACTGCTGCTTGCTTCCTATTGGCTGGGCTTAGTCACGTGGCCACACCTAGCTGCAAGGGAAGCCAAGCAGTGTCCTTCCTAGGGTGGCTGTGCATCCTGTCAAAACTTAGAAATGTGGCTTGTCTTGGTCCATTCGGGCTGCCATAACAAAACACTATGGACTGGATAACTCATAAACAGCAGAAATTTTTGCTTGTGGTTCTGGAGGCTGGCAAGTCCAAGATCAAGGTGCCAGCAGGGTCACATTCTGGTGAGGGCTCTCTCCCTGTTCCACAGCTGCAGCTCCTTGCTGTGTCCTCACATGGTGGACAGAGTCAGGGAGCTCTTGTGGGGCTTCTTTTATAAGGACATCAATCCCACTCATGGGGGCTCCTCCCCCTGACTCAATCATCTCCCAAGGATCCTACCTCCTATACCGTCACCTTTGAGAGTTAGGATTTCAACATGAGAAATTTGTAGGGGATACATTCAGGTTTTCACTCTCAGAGGAAAGGAGGAATAGATTCTGGGGACAACCAGCAGTTCCTGCCCCAGACTGCTGGTCAGTGATGGAGCCAGGATCAGAGCCCAGGCAGGCTGGCTCCATTCAATCCTCTGCTCCCACCTTTCATCAGAGGAGGGTGCCTCCTGGGCCCTGCTCTTCCCTTGACCCCGCACCCACTCCCGCAGGTGGACATCATGCAGATGTGCGTCATAGAGCTGAAGGAGAGACCGGGCCAGCCTCTCTTCCACCTGGAGCACTATATTGAGGGCAAGTACATCAAGTACAACTCCAACTCGGGCTTCGTCCGCGATGACAACGTGCGCCTGACGCCGCAGGTGAGGCACCTGCAGAGGCATCTCGGCAGACTCAGGTCCCTGCCCCACGAAACAGGGCTTCTGCCTTCATCTTTGCCTCTATACAACTCCTCCCTGCAGAGAAAGGCCCCCAGCAGGGGCAGAGCTGGATTGTCGCAGCCCCTCAGAGCGGTGCCTGCCAGTGTCCTTGCAGCCCACAGCCTGGTCTCTTGTGTTCACCCTTTTTCTTCCCGTCGCCCCACAGGCCTTCAGCCACTTCACGTTTGAGCGGTCCGGCCACCAGCTGATTGTGGTGGACATCCAGGGTGTGGGTGACCTCTACACCGACCCGCAGATCCACACCGAGAGGGGCACTGACTTTGGAGATGGCAACCTAGGTAGGCAGGGAAAGCCAGTGTGTCCACAGAGACCACGCTCCCCGCAAAATCTCCGACTCTTTGTTCACCTGAGAAAGCTGGCCGAGGTGGTGTATGGGCCTCCCCAACATAATGGAGCCAGGAGCCTGGGGCACCTGGCTCCTGCCAGTTCAGCACGTTTGACAACTGCTCCTGCTATGTCAGGGTGTCATCCCCGCCCTGCCCCTGCCCCAAGGCGAAGCAGTGCTCCAGACCCCGGCTTTGTCTGCAGGTGTCCGTGGGATGGCTCTCTTCTTCCACTCTCACACCTGCAACCGGATTTGCAAGAGCATGGGCCTCGCTCCATTCGACCTCTCTCCAAGGGAGAGAGATGCCGTGAACCAGAACACCAAGCTGCTGGTGGGTACCCAGTGGGAGCCTGCTGGGATGGGCGGGGCCTTTCTGCTGCCAGGACCAGCAAGCTGTGCTGCCTCTGCGACAGTGGCCCGGGCTCTGCGATGCTTCATTGAAGAGTATCAGGGCCAGAAGAATCTTGGTCCCATCTGTGTCCCTCGCCTCCCTCCCCAAACCAGTGCACAGCTCTCCTGAATGTCCCCATTAATAGGGCAGCTGGGGTCTGCTTGATCTGGCCCATTTGTGACCAGAGTGAGAGGACGAGGTGTGTAGAGGTAGTGAGTGTGTGGAGTGTGTATTTGTGTGGTGTTGACACATGGCTAGGCTAGATTTGGACCTGTCTCTCTGGGCA